TGGTAGCAGCACCAAAACACAGAATAATGTTGTTGCTAACAACACAATACCAGTCCCTAAGCAAAGAAAAGGACTAAAAAATCAGTCCTTCCAAATGGATTTGCCATATTTATCCAACATGATGCTGTACTAATTTAAGATCTAAAATGTGTTGTTTATAGTTTATATGAGGGGCATCATCATAACCATTTATTCTGTTCAGGTCATTCTTTAAATTTTAAGTGAGGAATCAGAAAGAATGTGGAATAATTTTGAGAACCTAGTGCTGGGAAACACATCTGTGCAATATGCTCTGATGGATTAAAGAAAGGCATTTCACTGTGTTAGTCCAAAGAGTCAATCAAAATATTGGAACAATGCCAGCTGAATGAACTGGACAAAAAGAAATTCAAACGTTCTTTGTCTCAAATAATCTGGGCAGTCTTTTTCAGAAGAAAAGCAAGTTGTCTGCATGCACATTTGTTACTTACTTTCAGATGGTCTTTAGAATCCCAGGCAGAACTTTTGATCCTATTTCAGGGAAAGATCTACCAATTAAGCTTCCCTTTGGCCCCCACCACCCTTAATATTTTACAAAATATGTGTTTTGTTTTTGCTGGCCAATTCACAACTACAGTTTGCATATATACATTTGCAAGGGCAGCTAGAGGGTGCTCAGGGTAAAAAAAACAACCTATTTTCTATATCATTCAGGGTCTTAGTTTGCTCATGAGGTTGAAGAAGAATTCAGAGGAAGAATGGTGCTAGTACTAATCATATTCAGTGCAATCATAGCTACTCATCCAACTCAGTACCCTGTTCCTGCTTTTTTCCCATACCACTTCGTCCCTTTAGCCCTAACAACTATATTTAACACCTTCTCAAAAGCATTCAATGTTTTCACCTCAAACTCTTTCTGTGGCAGAGAATTCCAGAGACTCACCATGCTCTAGGTGAAAATTTCTCTTCATCTTGGTACCAAATGGTCTCCCCTGTATCCTTAGATTATGATCCCTGGAACATCCTTCCTGCATTTACCTTCTCTAGTGCTGTTGAAACCTATTCATTGAAACCTACAACATTCTATTGTATTCTTCTTCCATCCCAGGCATCAGTCTGTAAATCTTTGTTGCTCTCCCTCCATAGCCAGAACATCCTTCCTCAGATAAGGAGACCAAAACTGCACATGATACTCAGCATGACCCTATTTAATTGCAAAAAGACATCCCTGCTTCTGTACTCAAATCCTCTCACTATGTAGGTCAACATATCATTTGCCTTCTTCACTGTCTGCTGTACCAACATGCTTTCTTTCAACGACTGGTATACAAGGACATCCAGATCTTGTTGCATCTCCCCCTTTCCCAATCCATCAGATAATAATTTGCTTTTCTGTTTTTACGACAATGGGATAACCTCACATTTATCCACACCATACTTCATCTGCCGTGTGTTTGTCCACTCACTCAACATGTCCAAATCACACAAAAACATCTTGCATCCTCTTCACAGCTCATCCTCCCACCCAACTTTGTGGTGTCAGCAGACTTTGAGGTATTACATTTAGTTCCCTTATCTAAATCATTAATACATATTATGAATAGCTGGGGTCTATGCACTGATCCCTGCAGCTCTCCACTAGTTACTGCTTGTCCTTGGAAAAAGACCCATTTATTCCTAGTCTCTTTTTTTCCTGTCTGTCCACCAGTTCTGTATCCATGTTAGTACACGGTTCCCAATCCTATGTTCTTTAATTTTACGTGCCAATCTCTTTCTTATGTGGGACCTTGTCGAAAGCCTTCTGAAAGTTCAAGGAAACTACATTCTCTGGTTCTCCTTTATTAACTCTACTAGTTACATCCTGGGAAAATTCTAATGGATTTGCCAAGCATGAAATCTGTTGTTATTCCATGCTATGTCTGATCCTATCATTGTCTTCCAGGTACCCTGATATTAAATCTTTTAAAGTGGATTCTAGTATTTTCCCCACTACTGATGTCAAACTAAGTAGTCGATAATTCCCGGCTTTCCCTCTATCCCATTTCTAAAATAATTGGGGTACATATGCAACTCTCCAATTACAGGCCACATTTGGAGTATTGTGCGCAGTTTTGGGCCCCATATCTTGAAAGATGTACTGGCTCTATAGCAGGTTCAGGGGAGGTTCACGAGAATTGTCCCAGGAATGAAAAGCTTAACATATGAAGAACGTTTGAGGACACTGGGTCTATACTCGATGGAGTTTAGAAGGATGGGGGGGATATCTAAGTGAAACTTCCAGAATACTGAATAGCCTGGACAGAGTGGATGTTGGGAAGATGTTTCCATTGGTAGGAGAGACTAGGACCCGAGGGCACAGCCTTAGACTAAAGGGAAGACCTTTCAGAACTGAGATATGGAGTAACTTCTTTAGCCAGAGAGTGGTGAATTTATGGAATTCACTGCCACAGAAGGCTGTGGAGGCCAGGTCATTGAGTACATTTAAGATGGAGATAGATAGGTTCTTGATTGTCAAGGGGATCAAGGGTTACGGGGAGAAAGTAGGAGAATGAGGTTGAGAAACTTGTCAGCCATGAATGAATGGCGGAGCAGACTCGATGGGCTGAATGGCCTAACTTCTGTTCCTATGTCTTATGGTCTTATGGACTTCCACATCTTTAGACTCCTGTCCTCTCAATAAAAAGGCTGAGCATTCCATGAGCTTTCTTGATTATTTTCTGAACCTGTTCATGACATTTTAAAGATTTATCAACTCCCAAGTCTCTTTGGACATCTACTGTATTTATCTTCAGACCATCGAGAAAATACCCTGATCCAGCCTCTTTTGGTCCAAAATAAATAACCTCAAACTTGCTTACATTGAACTCCATCTACCACAGCTTTTGCCGTTAACTTAGTCGATCAATTTTATGCTATTGTCTATCTGTTGACAATGCCACCTAATTTGTCATCAGCAAATTTGGATATGTCACTGTCTATGCCATTATCCAAGTCGTTAATAAATAATGTGAATTGGTTTGTATGTTTATTTTTATTCATTTGTGGGATGTGGGTATCGCTGGCTGGCCAGCATTTATTATACGTCCCTAGTTGCCCTTGAGAAGATAGTGGTGAGCTGCCTTCTTAAACCACTTGCTTCTGTGTGCTGTAGGTAGACCCACAGAAAATTCCAGAATTTTGACCCCGTGATAGTGAAAGAATGGCAATATATTTCCAAGTCAGGATGGTGAGTGGCTTGCAGGTGCTGATGTTCCCATGTACTTTCCACCCTTATCCTTCTAGTTGGAAGTGGTCCTGGGCTTGGAAGATCCTGTCTAAGGATCTTTGGTGAATTTGTGAAGTGCATCTTGTAGATGGTACACACTGCTGCTACTGAACATTGTGGTCGAAGGAGTGATGTTTGTGGATGTGTCATAGAGTCATAGAGTTATACAGTGGGTGCCAATCAAGTGGGCTGCTTTGTCTTGGATGATGTCAAGCTTCTTGAGTGTTTTTGAAGCTGCACTCATCCAGGCAAGTGGGGAGTTTTCCATTATACTCCTGACCTGGTGGACAGGCTTTGGGGAGTCAGGAGGCAAGATACTTGCCACAGTATTCCTAGCCTTTGACCTGCTGATGCAGCCACTATATCCATAAGGAAGTTTAGTTGACTTTCTGATCACTGGTGACCCCAGGATATTAATAGTGGGGGATTTAGTAATGGTAACATCATCGAATGACAAGGGATGTTGGTTAGATTCTTTCTTGTTGGAGATAGTCATTGCCTGGCATTTGTGTGGCATTATGTGTATTTTAGTCCTGTTCCTAGAAATCAATACTTTTTTTTCAGGCAGCTAGAGTATTTGAATTTTCCTTTTGTATTTTGCTTTAGCTTTTTGAGACATACCAAAGATATCAGTCCGCATTGCTCAGAAGGTTAATGAACACTGTCTGTGTTCCTGAGCCTGTATGACTGGCAAATCCAATTCCATTTCTGTGCAGAAGTAGCTGATCACTGTTCATATGGTATTAGGAACATCTCAGTTACTCCCTGTTTTCTGGGCTAGGCAGGAGAATTATTAACCAGTATTCCCACTCCTGATCACTGTCTGTCTAGTAACTATTTTTTGGAAATTTTAGGAAGATCGGTGTCAGATGAAGACTGGGTGTTTACCCTGGAGACTTAACATGGGATGAATTATCACTGATTGTTGATGTCTGCAAAATCTGACCAGACCAAGTCAGTGACCTACACAGAGAAAATGGAACTTTTAAAAAGATTAGTTCTGACCAATTTATCACTGATGTTTTGAATCAGTATCCTTTGATACTTCACATATGGCTTCGTGCCAAACCCTTTGCTCTTGATTCAGTTATGTGGAGCTTAGTACTCATGAAGAAGAAGAAAATTGTTTTTGTGCATTTGAACAAGTTCTCTTAAAAGGCGCTTGACATAATTTCTGACTAAATCGGTGTCTGTAAGTATGTATTAGTGAGATTTATTGGGAAAACTTTTTATTATTTATGTATGCCCTCCTCTGATTACATGATTGCAGAAATTCTATTACATTCTAACATCACAATTGCAATTGAGGTTCATTGATTGTAAGTTGGAAAATTAACTTTGCGCATATAAAAAGGTGTTTTCTGAAACTTTGTTAACTCTACATTCAAAGTCACAATCAACAGAGGACACACTGTAATAAATGAAATAACAGCTAAGTTCACCAAGCAGCAACAGAACTGTTCAGTTATTTAAAAATCCGTGGCTATGTTATCACAGGGTGGAGTAGAATGGAAAGGACACTCATTAATTTTAATGAAGTCCACTTTCAAATGCAGATAAAATAAAGACAAAACACTTTTCAGAAAATTATCCAATGCTACATAATTGTTTGGAGTTACTGCTGAATGGATGCAGTGACATATTTAATAATGCAGCACAGTGCAGCTGTTTCAACTCACTGTGACTTGAAGCGAGGCCATTAATGTTATTTTGTAATGACCTGCAGAATTCTTTTTTTTTTCCTTCTGTTTTCTAGGTTACGTGGGGAACTTTCAATGGTAAAGACTGGCTGGGATACTCAGATAGCACAGATCTCCAAGGAGACTGTTGCTAAGGACATGCAAATTAAAATGTTGCAGGACCAAGATTCAAAGCTGAGAACTGAATTAACCAGATACAAGAAGGATGTGGAAAAGTAAGCAGCATTGTCAATCAGTTGAGAAATGGCAAATCATACTCACTAGAAAAAATACAGATCAATTTTTGGAGTAAATCTTGAACTTTTGTTAAGTACCAAGGGATCAAAATTGCCATTCCATTAAGAATGTTTTAAGAATTAAAATTAAACTCTGATTTTAAGTGGATCTTTGTTTGCTAAGAAGGTCAAAAAGTAAGTTGAAAAATTGCCACTTCAGCTCACCTGTTAATTTTTTTAAGATTTCTTGATGAACTTGCAACATTAACTGTCTCAGGATTGTAAAATATTAGCTCACAAGGCCAGAGAAAATATTTCTTTTACCTCTAAACTCTTACTAACAGTCAAGGAGTGATGCTGGCAAACTGTGAGAATATCTACAATTGAGAACATGCTGTCATGCACTGGATATATAGTACAGAGGCACCACAAAGGAGAACTCTGATTTGTAGCAGGAGGGAGCCAACTCTATTGTATTTATTAAGTACATGTAAAATGTACAAGCTTTATACTTTCCATTATGTACAATATTTAATAGCTGTGTAATATTTACTAATCCATCTTCTATGAGGATGCGTGTAGGGAGTTAAGGTCAAGCACAGTCTTCATGTGATGTCGGCTTAAGATCACAGGGAATGACTCAATAAAGACAGGTGCTTTGACCCCATCCTAAAGTTATATAAACGATCCACAAGAAAATGGATAAACAAAAAATGAAATCCTAGTACAAAGGTTCTAAGCTGTTTGTACAGCAATGCACACAGTGTCTAATAAAACAAGAGATCTGGAAGCAGTCGTGTGTAGGGAGGAATCAGACATTATCTGGTTACTGATTCATGGCTACAGAAATATCAGAACTGAGAATTAAACATTAAAGGGTGTAATATATGTGATTAATAAATGTGATTGTCATCCATACATAAATTGAATCTGTGTGGATAGGGATAAAAGATAATACAGTATCCATCACACTAATCTTAGTTAAATTTTATAGTTAAACACAGTAAAACAAGATATAGCAACAGGAGTATACCAAATGCCCTGTGGAGCCTGCTGTGCCATTCAATATTATCATGGCCAATCTTGGACTTGCTTGAAATCCTCTTCCCTGCATTTGCCTTCAATCCCAGAAGAGACCAAATCTCTACCTATCACGGCCTTCAAATATGTTTGAAAATGGAGCATTTACATCCTCTGGCATAGAGAATTCCTAAGATTCTCCACATCTCAGTCTTAAATAATCGGTTTATATACTGAGACTAACTTTGTGTTTTCAATTTTCTAACCAGTGGAAGGAGTTTTACAGTATTTCTTTATCAAGCCACCCAGAATCTGTTATGTTTCAGTGAAATCACCCCTTATTCTCTGAACTCCAGACACTGCAAACCTAATTTACTCAGACTTTCACCATAGCCAACCTGCTCTTCCTTCTCTAAATCATCCCCAAATCAAGTATATCCTTCCTTAAATATGGAGACTAACACTGCACACAGTAGGCTAAATTTTAACAGAACTTGGCTAAAAGTCAATTTTAGTATCTTACCATGTGTCTCACATGTTTCTCATGCTAGTCTCTGAAACTCACCTTATTAGCTATGAGTATTGCCTCTGTGGCACTACGCTCATCCTGTCTTCACTCTTGCCAAAGATAGAAGTACTCACCACTACTGGGACCTCCAGGGGCTCCCAGCACCACAGTCATTTTTAAAGCCCATCTGTGCACAACGTTAAGTGCTGTCATCGAGGAATTACCCTTCATTGTGCATGTAATAGGATGGGAATCAAAAGAAATGCATCTCGGGGCACATAAGTGCCACTACTGACATTTTGTTGCAATTACAGTTGCATATTCACAAATGTATTGCTATTCAAGAACCAAGTTATACAGGTTACCTGTTCTTAGCTTCAACTCATCTTAGAGCCCTGAGTGAGGATGTACTTCTCTTTCACCAATGCCCAGAGTGCCTTAGAGCTTAGTAATGCTAGCCATCGTGTCACATTGTCCCACCACCACATTCCCTCAAGTTAAAGCCAGGGTGGTTGTGACCAGACATGGATTTCCACCTCCACCATACTCCCAAAGTACCATGGTTCTCCATTGCACTGTTGTTTCCCCCATCCTAATCATTAAATTCATCCCTTCACATATAATACCTCTGTGCAATAATCAGCAGAATGTTCAGAAACTGAAACAGTCCATGTTCAGTATCCAGGCTTGGGCTGATAAGGAACATTCGCACCCCAAACATGCTAGGCAATGACCATTTCCAATAAGACATGATCTAACCAGCACCCCTTGACATTCAGTGGTGTTACCAAAACTGAATCCCCTACTTTCAGTATCCCTCGGGTTACCATTGACCAAAAACTCAACTGGACGTGCCACGTAAACACAGTGACTACAAGAGCAGGACAGAGTCTAGGAATACTACATACATACACTGCAAATACTGTCAGGAGCATGATGGAATACTCCTGACTTGCCTGGATGAGTGCAGCTTCAACACCATTCAGGACAAAGGACCCCACTTGATTGGCACAACATCCGCAAGCATGCATTCCTTCCAAAAATGACACTCGGTAACAGCAGTGTGTAATATATACAAGATGCACTATAGAAATTTGCCAGAGATCTTTAGACAGGACCTTCCAAACCCACAACCATTCCCATCTTGATGGACAAGGGCTGTAGAAACACGGGAATACCACCTTGTGCAAGTTCCCTTCCAAGTTACTCACCATCCTGACTTGGATCTATTTTGCCATTCCTTCACTGTCATGGGGTCAAAATCCCAGAATTCCCTCCCTAATGACATCGTGGGTCAACATACAACATATAGACTGCAGTGGTTCAAGAAGGCAACTCACCACTGAAATAACTCCACAGAGAGCAGTATCCCATCACCACTTTATTTACACGTGGAAAGTCCTTGTCGCTCTGAGAGCTGCATCAGTGTCAAGATGTCTGAAACACCTTACTTATCTGTCAGCCCGGGCTCCTTATTGGACCAGATTAACAGCCCCAATGAGGGAACTTAGATTCTGAGAGGTCCACCTGGCTGACCTCGTTATAATCTCTACAACCACCACCTTCTCATGGGCAACTAGGGATGGGCAGTAAATACTGGCTAACCAGTGATACCCATGTTTCACAAGTGAATAAAAAAAACCCAGCATATTGCCTCCAATTTCAGCTTCTGAGTTCCCCAGCTTCTCTTCTGCAACAAAGGCTGTGATAAGCCCTCTTTGGCTTTCACTGAGCTGACTCTCATGACTAACCATTGCCCATCCCCTTGACTTGACACAGAAGGATAGCCCTGATTGACAGATGATCAAATGCCTGACTAATCTCTGTATAGGTCCCTGACTGACTTAGCACAAATCTATTGACCAGTTGCACTAGACCTGCAAGATGATCATGGCCCATTCCCCGGCAGTAAAAGTTTGTATTCCTGTACATCCTGACCACCCACATGGCCTACTGAC